TGAAGACAGGGAAGATGTAAGATTGTGGGTGCTATGGAGTGTGGCTGAAGCTGGGAACCAAACAGTAGGGTCAGAATCCCTGAAGAGAGTCAGGAAAGGCCCTTGGTGAAGAAGCAACCTCAGTTGCAGTGGATAACACAGGACATTGAGGATGTCAGTACTATGGGATGATCACCAAGGATAGTAGATGGAAAGTTGAGCCATCCTAAGCCATCAAGAGAAGTCATATGTGCTGGGATCTCAGAACTGGAGAAGTGAAATGGTTCAAAGCTTTCGGAGCCCTGAAGATAATGTGTGAGTCCCATAAAACTCTGAGGAACATTTTTCATTTAAACCACCACATGGTTTAATAGCAATTTGTTTGTATGTTAGGTTGACAAGTCATGGTGCCTCTAGTAACTTTCAGTTGTCAACTTGATAAAACCTTGAAGAAATGCTGCAATAATATTGGCCTTTGGGCATATCTGTGAGAGATTATCTTGACTGATGATTGATGTGGGAGGACTCAGACTACTTTGGGCAGCAGTAGGCAAATGGGCCTAGGATATATAAGAAAACTAGGTGAGCATGAGACAGTCAGACAAGCCAAACCAATTAGTAGATTTCCTCCATTTTCTCTGGTCCAGGTTCCTCTATAGAGTTCTTGTCCTAATTCCCTCAGTGATACACTGTTACTTGAATGTCTAAGCTGTAATAAAACTTTTTGTCTCCTAAAAAACAAACAAACAAACAAAAGAACACTGGTTGTTCTTGCAGAAGACCAGGGTTCAAATCCCAGCACCCACATGGCAGCTAACAACTGTCCATAACTCCAGTCCCAGGGGATCTGACAGCCTCTTCTGTCCTCCGTGGGCATTGCACAACGTGGGTGCACTTACCTATATGCAGACAATACACACATACACACAAAAATAAAATATTTTTTTAAAAAATAAGTGAAAAAAAGTTTTTGTACAAGTATATTGTATGTTGAGCATATTCTGCCCCAGCCTTCTCCCCTCCGTTTTCTCACCCCCTCCCCAGTTAGTCCTCTTTGTTATCTGACAGTTCCACATGTATTTTCATGTCACGTGTACATACCTGATTTCACCTATCTATATAAAATCTAGAAACTACAAATGAAAGAAAACATGCAGTCTTCTGAGACTGTCCTAATCCACTTAATCTGGTTATCTCCAATTGCATCCCCTTCTCACAAACAATATAAATTGTGTGTATTCGCCACATTTTCTTCAGCCATTCCCTGTAACTGAGCTATTGCAAATATTGCTGCAATAAACACTGATGTGCTAGCAGCTGTGTTGACTTGGAGTCCTTTGAGTGAATACCCTGAAGTGGTACAGCTGAGTTATATGGAAGATCTGTTTTTAGGTATCTCTTTAAAATTTTTATGTGTATGAGTGTTACATCTCCATGTAAGTGCGTCTGTGTCATACAATGCCCACAGAAAAGAGAGTGTCGGATCCCCTGGAACTGCAGTCACAGATGGCTGTTAGCCTTCATGTGAATTCTAGGACTTGAACCCAGGTCTTCTGGAAGAGCAGCCAATGCTCTTGACGGCTGAGCCATCTCTCCAGTCCATGTTTTTAGGTATCTTTTTGATTTCCTATTTTTCTCTGTGGTGCCTTCCACTGTGTGATGGCAGGAACTGATAGAGGAGGTGGCTTTTTGGGTATTTTCCCCTCCTTGCCAAAGTCCATGAAATAACTTCATGGAGTTATCAGAGAAAACTCCTCATCTGCCACTGAGCTCTCCTTCCCAGCAGCCTTCATCGTTGGGCTCATTGATGACCATCAGCGTATCTTTTTTGTCAGTCCATCAACATTCAATGTCTCATAGGGAAATACGGCTTTGCAGTCAGTCATTCACAGTCCTGGTCCTGCTGACTATTTCTGTCCTCCACAGGTCTGGAGCTGATGTGCCTGGAGGAAAGTTCTTAGCATGATGTAGTTAACTGTCTCTTCAGTTTAAAAAGGTGCCAGAACTGCCTTTAAAATCCTTCCACTTCTAACAGCCAAAGGCATGGGGCCTGAGGGATCAGCCTAACCCCCCATGCTACTTAGAACCAGATGAGGAGTAGGGAAAGCAAACCTTACATTTATGGTTTGGGAGCCAGGGTGATGCCCAGATTGGGTGGCTCCTCGAAGTCCTCCCTTGCCTACATTACTGCAGCCAATCTAGATTGCCTCCCTGACCCAATGGCATGACCCCTGGGCTTGTGAGTCATCCTCCCACCTTCTCTAACTTTTCCTTCATTTGACAGTGCCCGGATTCTGCCTTCACCCCTGAGGACTTTTCCCTAGATATAAGATTCTGGCTTTATCAATCTTTTCTTTCAGTGCTTTAAAGTGGTGGTTCAGTTTTGTTCTCGTCTTTAACAGTGTCTGGTGAAAAAAATCTGCAGTCACTCAAATGTCATCTGCAGTTTTCAGATGTTTGATCATGATGCATTTTGGCATGGGTTGCAATGCTGTCCTGTTTGGAGTTCATTCAAGTTCTTGAATCCATGGATTTATCTTTTGCCAGATTTGAAGAGCTCTGTTTTATTTGTTTTATTTGTTTTCAGCCCTACCATCTTTCCTGTTCTGTCAGGGAACACACCTGTTATGGAGCATGAGTCACTAAGGCTTCATTTTTTCTGGCATATTTTCTATTGTTCTGTCTTCCATGTCAGTGATTCTTTCCTCTGTTCCCGTCATTGTGCTGTTAAACCCACTCTTCAAGCTCTCTATTTTGATCACTGTATTTTTTCACATCAAAAATTTCTGCTATGAAGCCAGATGTGGTGACACAAGCCTTTAATTCCAACACTTGGGAGGCAGAGGCAGGCTGATCTCTGTGAGTTCGAGGCCAGCCTGGTCTACATAGTGAGTTCCAGTTCAGCTGGGGCTACAGGGAGACCCTGTCTCAAAAATACCCCCCCAAATTTCCACTATATTTTTGTTTGTGTTTTGTTTTGTTTTTCACTGTGTAGGCCTGGCTGGCCTGGAACTCTCCATGTAAACAAGGCTGGCCTGGAACTCACAGAGATCCACCTGCCTCTGCCTCCTGAGTGCTGGGATTAAAAGCATGTGTCACCACAGCAGGCAAAATTTTCCACTATGTTCTTTACAGCTTCTATTTCTTTTTTTTAAGATTTATTTTTATTTTTATTTATGTGTATCTGCCACATGTGTGTGAATTCTGTGGAGGCCAGAAGACGTTAGATCCCCTAGAGCTGGAGTTACAGGTGGTTGCTAGCCTCCTGATGTAGGTGCTAGGAGCTTAAGTCCTCTGAAGTGAAGAACCCACTCATACTTGCTAAGCCACCTCTCCAGTCCCTAGGCTTCTATTTCTTGGGTTTTCTATTTCTTTGACAGGGATTTCTCTTGTTTTAGGCAGATTTGTTATAATTGAAGCATTTTAATCATGGCTGCCTAAAAAGCTTTGTCAGATAATCTAACATTTCAGTCACTTTGATGCTCCTGTCTAGTGACTGTCTTGTTTTAATTCACTTTGGAAACTTCCTGGTTCTTTGTGTGGTTGGAGGATTATCATTTGACCTAGATATCTTCATATTATTTACGAAATGACTGGTTTCTCTGGCCCTACTTGGGGAAAGAAGGGACTTCATGCTTACCATGTAGAACTGAAGTCAGACTTCCCCAGGGTTGTGGCGGGGGGTGCTTTGGGTGGTTTCCTCAACCCTGCTGTGTGGTAGAAAGTTCTGGCTCCTGGGTGGTCTCTACTGCTACTGACATATGAGAAGAATCCTTGTCACTGTGGGTGGTGGGCAGAGTCTTGATTGTCCAGTAGACTGAGTCTGACACCATGAGGCGCAGAGAGAGAGTACCTCACAACTCCCAGGCATAGTGGAAGTCTAAGGCTCCTTTTACTGCCACTGTTTTACGTTCCATGTTCCATTCCTTGTTCTCAGAGCATATTGTATAGAAACTCCCCTCCACCAAGCTCTTAGCCCCTCCTCCCATAGACACATGTTCAGCTCACTGTGACAATGCATACACGGTTCAGCCCATATATATGCTTCCAGAAACTCAGAGAGGGAGTAAGTTAGAAGAGGAAACTCAAAGAAGGTCAGAAGAGGACATCAGATCCCCTGGAACTGGAGTTACAGATGGTTATTAGCTGCCATGTGGGTGCTGGGAATTGAACCTGGGTCCTCTGCAAGAGCAGTCAGTGCTCTTAACCTCTGAGCCATCTCTCCAGCCTGCGTCCAGCATTTGTAATCCTCCATGTGTTATCCACTTACACCCCTTAGCTGGACCCCTGCTGTGCCCCCAGCAGCACAACCCACCAGAGCATGAGAAATGCAGAGCCTCTGGCCCAGTAGCTCCCAATATCAGACAGACCCTCATCATCAAGAAGCAGAGACAGAGCAATCCTTGTGCCTAAAGCACTGCCAGATCCTGTGGTGGGAGTTCCACTGCAGACACAAAGAATTTTAAAGGAATTCCAGTCCTGCTACCCAGCAAGAGGTAGGACATTATCCTCATGGAAGAAACTGGAAGACAGAACCTCTGCACCTCTGCCTCTCTTCCACTCTCTGTCCATCCCCACTGTGGCTCTGCTCCACGAGCCATTAGCAAGTAACAAGTCATGAGAAGGACAGGGCCATAGGGCCACTCCAGGCAGTTGTAGACATGTCTGGGGCACCTCTGCGGGCATCCTGATGAGAAGGGGAGTCTCAAGGAAGCAGCTCAAGGTCATAAGCATTTAAAAAGTGGCAGGGTAGATGGGCCCAGGCCTATGGCACCTGACCTGAGACCTGCCTGTTTGTGTTTTCCCTCCTGAAGGAGATGAGAGGCACAGCTGGGAGGGCTGTTCACACAAGAAACACTTCCCCTTCGTCCCTATCAGGGCAGATCAAGTTGCCAACCAAGGGCATCCCAAGGGCCAACTGACGCCTGGGAAGGTAGAGGGCAGATAGCAAGCAAGCCCCAACCCTCCCTTGTGTTTGTAGAGGCGATAGTGGAGCGCTGATAGCTGGCTCTGATGCCTTTGGCCTTTTACAGAGGAGACTATAAGCCCCAGAGGAGGCTTCCTGGGCCCAGTCCAGGCAAGCAGGAAGGGACATGGCAGCTCTGCAGGAGAAGAAATCATGCAGCCAACGCATGGCTGAATTCCGGCATTACTGCTGGAACCCGGACACAGGGCAGATGCTGGGCCGCACCCCAGCCCGGTGGGGTAGGTGTGGGTCCCATGGAGGGGGTATGGGATAAGGGACAGAGGGCTAGCAGCCCGGAGGACCTAGGCCCCGCTGGGACACCGGAGACAGATTATAGGTCATGCCTCACCCCTCAGCAGGAAGTCAAGGTCCCCAGATGGTTCCTGAGGCTCTGACTCCAGAACACCAGCAGGACAAAAAAGTAAGACTGGCTCCAAAATTTTTATCCATATATTTGAAAACAGAATTTTAAACTTCTTTCTGGAACTAATTTTAAGTTACAGTAGGTAGCAGCGATTCAGATCATTTGAGGAATAGGGATTTATTTAATCAAGTGAACTTGCTCCCCTATTGTGAGGCTGGCCATGATCCCAACATGCTGGGCATATCTGGGGAGCCCAGCTTCCCAGGCTGTATTGGGAAGTACCCTGTGCAACTCTCACTCTAAGTGCAGACACAGCTGGGTTAGGTACCTGGCCACAGAGTCCATTCCTGATGGCTCCCATGTGGTCATCCAGGGATACTGCAGGAGCAGACATGTGCACACTGACCACAGGGATGTGTACCTGCTCAGGACACACCCTCATAGAGCAAGTCTTCTACAAAGAAGAAGTGCTCATGAAGTGAATACCCTTCAGGTCTTCCAGCCACCAGAGTACAGGTGTCACAAAGGGAGTGGAGGCAGCAGATGATTCAAAGTGCTACATCACTGGGAGCACAGGATGTGTGCTACTCTGTCCTCTGGAAGGCCAGATCTGGGCCCTGTTCCTCTGGATCCCCATAGCAGCCATGTGGGGATATAGTCCACATCCGTAAAGGAATGGGAAGCCACTCATCTGACCCTCTATCTGCCCATCTCAAGGGGCATGGAAGCAAAGATGAGTGAGTGGACTCAGAGTGCAGCATTGATGATTTGTTCCCGGGACAATTAAACTGGGTCCAGCCCAGCCAAGACATGCTGGGTGTCTGCCCATGGGAAGTATGCACTGTCAGTGAGGAAGATGTGGCACACTTTCCTGAAGACTGTGACCTCCTAGAGACAGAGAGAACTCCTGGGTCTCTAATGACTCGGAGCAAAAGCAATCAGTTCCGGGTAGATAGGGTGTACCAGCGGAAATGTGGAGGCAGAGCTAATACTGGGGCCCTCGCAGGCAGTGGGTCAGCTGAGGAAAAGACAACAGATGAGGCCCTGGAGCAGATGCTAGGGCTGCCAGCTCTTTCCTCAGGAGCCCTGTCTAGTAGGCAATTCTGGCTTCTGAGACTTCCACAAGCTACCTTTATGGCTGCAATACCACTCAGAACTTTCTAGAACTGGCTCACTGCCTGACTGGAGGTCCTGGCCCATGTTTGTAAGTGACAGCCTCAAAGGCTGAGGAAGGCATGACTCAAGTAAAATGATAGGAACAAAAGAACAGGACAAGCTATTCAGGGGACTTGATAGCAATTGGAAGCAAGGTGGCCAGAGATCATGGGGCTGAGGACACTTTAGGTCTCAGTGATTTAGAGTACTCCCAGCCACCTGGGCTGCACTTTCTGTGTGTGTCACATGGAATTCTTACTGCCAGCAGTCAGAGGCTCCTCAACCTCATCTGCCTTTCTAGGAGGGGAAACTGAGACCCAGAGGTAGTGATTCTGAGACTGCCTACAAAGCCAGTCAGGGCCCAGCAGCTGGCCTCATTCAGTCCTCCCAGCTGCTCTCCATGTGTCCTGCAGTCAGTGGGAAGACTGTGATACTCACTAGGCACCAGCAGCAAACAGGTGCCAGGCAGTGCTAGGAGCTGGGCCGCCTGGGCTGACTTTCCTCCAGTTTACTAAATCTCAGTTTCCCCGTCTGTGAAGAGGGTAACAAGCTATGAGATTCCATGGGCTCTCAGGTCCCATGAAAGTAGGTGAGTTAGACAGACCTGTCAGGTGGCCACCATAGTGACCCTGTCAGGGGAAATCTCCCTCTGCTGGCCCTTTGTGAGCATGCTTGGGAACCTGGCCCTGCAGAGCATGAAACTGAGTGGGTGAACAGATCTGACAATCCTGTAAGCACAAGTCAGGCCAGCAGGTGCCACAACCCATAGACAAGTGAAGAAGCAAGGCCCTATGGCTTGCTGGGGGCTATGAGGAGTCATAGCTATAAGATAAGCCACTGTTGTCCTGAGCCTCCAGAGAGGCCTGGCCAGAAAGAAAAGGCACCATCTCCATAGATTATGGCCTCCAGCCTGTGGCCTCCCACTGACTTGGTCCTATCTTCAGTCACTTATGAGTCACTGGAAGAATGATTCACTTGGAGGAAGCCATACCCAAATCATGCAGACAAAGGCATCCCATGTTCTTAGAGAAGACTAAAATTAAGCACAAAAAAACCTTCTCCTGACAGCATGCTTCTTAGTGATAGTACACATGATTAGAAGTCATCTAAAATGTAACTGTGGAGACTCCACAACAGCCCAAGTCCAAGGCGGTGTTCCACTCGTGCTCTCCACTTGAATTCAACTTGAACAGGACACCATGGGGGAGATCCTCAGGCGCTCATGGAGCCTGGCTTACATGGGGATTACAGCATTTGCTGCCTATCATGGCTCTTCTACATTTCCTTCCACTGATGCACTGATGTAGTCAGTGCCAGGAGCTTCAGAGCTGGGCCTCTTCTCTGCAGGACACAGGATGAGCACCTGTCAGACCCTCAGGGTATAACCTGAGGTATACTCACAGCTGTGGCCTGGCCCACACACTGGGGGTCACCTTGGGCAGCAGCTGCCTCTCTTTCTGCCTCGTTTCCCTTCCTGTAATGTGGGGAACAGTAGAAACTCCAGGGTGCAGAAGGATGGGCACTTGGCCCCTGCCATGCTGACTGTGGGTGTATAGTGGGTGCACCAAGCACCCATGGTTACCATTAATGTGCTGGGGCAGTGACATGTGTCCTGTGGTGCTGTTTGTGTGGAAAAACAGAGCAGACAGAGACTGAGTAGGGAAGTATGTGCCATGGCTAGGGGAGGAAGGATGGGGGATACTGAAGGGCTCAGGATAAGAAAGCTCTGGAACTAGATAGAGGTGCTGGTGGCACATCATCACAAGTGCATTGCACAGCACTAACTGTGCTCTCTTGGAGTCAGAGAGAGCAATGGTTCTGTGCTGGGCACGTTGCCATAGCTGAGGTGGCTGCCTCTAACCTCGTCTCTTCACAGTGTGGATCAGCCTCTACTATGCCGCTTTCTATGTGGTGATGACTGGGCTCTTCGCTTTGTGCATCTATGTGCTGATGCAGACGATAGATCCCTATACCCCAGACTACCAGGACCAGCTAAAGTCACCGGGTAAGCATCAGAAAGGCCACCTTTAGCAATGTTCCCACAGCAACACATGGGAGGGCACAGCACATGATCCATTCTGCCCATACCCAGGGCAGCACGTTCCGCAGCTTCCTCTGAGGAGGAAGACAACCCCAAATTGCAAAGTCTGACTTTGGCTTTAGTTTTAAGTATTAAAACAGGACTTTTTTTTATCATAGAGACAAGAAGATCTGTGCACTCACAGGAGCTTTTCTAGGATGCACAGGAGATTTTTGGCAGGGAGCAGGCCTGGGGGTCCCGGGCAAAGGGTAAGGGGAGGAGACATCTGCTTGGTCATTAGTACCTGGGATGGATGAGAAGAGAGCTGAGACCCAGCCACTTTTGAGGCCAAGAAACAAGCAATGAAGCCTCTTTTCCCTTTTTCCCTTTAAACTATGTACAGCTGTTCCTTTCCAAATAAACCTGTAAAAACAGCAAAGCCCTGACTTACAAATTAAAAAAAAAAAAAAAACAATAACAAAAAAAACAGCCACATAGATGGAGCCGGCAAAGCACACTGGATTATTCACCATGAAAAGTCATGTGGTGTTTGTGGAAAGAATGAGAGATTTGCTGTGGAAGGGCAGGGAGAGAAGTTTGCAATAGCACTGGAAAGCTTCAGAGAGAGACAGGGAAGTTCCAGGCCTGTGCATGAGTCGGCACCCCGAGCTCATGTCCCGTCTGTCCACAGAAACAAGACGGTGCTCAACAGACATACAGCAGACTGCAAATTACACAGCGACAGCTCTTGCTTTGGCTTCCCTCTCCCACACTTTAATTTATTTACAAGTGATATCAGAGTGCTTTAGTACTAAGCAGAATCAGTGCTCTTTCCTACATTTATTTATTCATTTATATATGTATGTGTATGTGTGTGTGTGCACATGTGTAAGCACAAATGCCACAGTACACATGTAGAAGTCAGAAGACAACCTATGGGAGTCAGTTTTCTCCTTTTACTATGTGGGTCCAGGCCTCAAACTCAGGAAGTCAGTCTTGGTGGCAAGCATCTTTACCAGCTGAGATATCTTGCTCACCAAGTGAAGATTTTGGGTTTTGCTTTTTTCTAAGATTTATTCTTATTTTTGTGTATACATGTGTGCATATGTATGTGCGTATAAGGCCAGAAGAGGGCACCAGATCGCCTGGAGCTGGAGTTACAGGCAACTCAACTTAACCCCTAATGTGGGTGCTGAGAACCAAACTTGGGTCCTCTGGAAGAGCAGTAAATGCTCTTAACCACTGACTCTTCTCTCCAGTCCCCCAAGTGAAGGGTTTTTTTTTTTTAATGTGTGTTTAAATTCCATATCCCTAGAGACTCACCTGCAGGCCCTGTGGAATCTCCAATGAGGCCAGCACCTACTGCACCGATCCTGCTCTTGGCTACACAAGACACAGGGTCCCCCGTAGAGCATGTGCCACTGCTGCTGGACCTGGGCATCCAGAGTCTCTGGGACAAGCCCGGACTTCACGCCCACTGTGCTGCATTCTGCAAAAAGCAGGAGCCCCAGAATCAGTGTCCTCAGAGTCCTCAGGCCCTTTCTCACAGCCTCCTTGGTCAAAGGGACCCTGGCCTGCGGCTCCCTCCTGGTGGAGTAAGGACCTGGTCCCAACTTCAGGCACAACTACCCATGCTAGGGGGCTCAAGTGAGACTGGACAACCTCAGGGCAAAGGGCTCAGATGTGAGTGTTCGGAGAAATCAATAAAGAAGATGCTTTCTTCCCCCAGGGGTGACCTTGAGACCTGACGTGTACGGGGAGAGAGGTCTGCAGATTTCTTACAATGTCTCTGAAAACAGTTCCTGGGCCAGCCTCACACACGCCCTCCACAACTTCTTAGCAGGTGGGTTAACGATGAATGCATCTCAGGGCGTTTCCTAAGAGAATCACTAGGGGCCTAGGACAATGAGGAGTCTGGCTGCAGGAGCAGACAGCACCTGCAAGTGTGTGTTCCACAGGTTACACACCACTGTCACAGCAGGACAGCATCAACTGCACCTCTGAGAAGTACTTTTTCCAGGAGAGCTTCTCGGCTCCCAACCACACCAAATTCTCCTGTAAGTTCACTGCTGACATGCTGCAAAATTGCTCAGGCCTGGTGGACCCCAACTTCGGCTTTGAGGAGGGAAAGCCATGCTTTATCATTAAAATGAACAGGGTGAGTATTGAGGACCCCTTTGGAGATGGTCATGGAATGGTGAGGAGCTCCCCTCCTCACACTCAATGATGGGTCCTGGGCCCTTTGCCACATTGCATCCCAGCTCCGCACACACCCATCATGTTTGGCTCTTAAACACAAATCTAGAATTTTCCACTCAATGTCTTGCCAACCATGTAGCCATGGTTGCCACACAAACAGCAAGACACTGGGCTGTTGAAAGAGACCAGGGTGCCAGAAGAAGAGGCTTTGAGTTGTGGGTTAGGACAGAAGGGGTTGGGAGGCATTCTGCAGAGTCCCCTTATGCACCAAACACAGGAGTTCCTCAGGGTTGGCACCATGAGAAGTGCTAAGGCTCGGTGGTATCCAAGGCCAGCTTGAAGCAGGTACCATTCAGGCCCCAAGAACAGATAGTGAGCAGAGAGAAATGTGGTCTAGTCACGATGGGGCACAGGAAAGGTGATGCTGAAACCAAGGCCCAGGACCAGTAAGGGTCAGGCAACAGGGGCTCAAGGTCCCTGTTCCAGAGACCAAGTGGCAGGTGAGAGTCCAGTCAGCCACATAACGGATTTCCATTTTACAAGGCCTTAGGAAGTCATATGCTTGTACACTGAACCCACCATGAAGTTCTAAGGCTGGCAGGGTCTCCCCAGAGCTTCCTGGCAAAAGCGCTGTGATCAGGGATTCACCAACCAATGTGGCAGCTGATACTCCCACCAAAGGCAGGTACTACCCAGAGTCAACAGCTGGAGTGGAGAAGTCCAGGAAAGGAGTAAGAGGAGGTAGGGACCCGGCTAGAGCAATAGGCAGACATGTTCTGCTGGTACTCACCACGGTGGGCTTAGACACGGTGCCAGTGACTAGGACCGCCACCCCCAGCCCCACCACCACCAACTTCCCTCCTGCCCCCTGGGGAAGTGGGATAATGGCTTAGAAGCACGTGTGAGTGACCTCCACAACAAGGTTTTTCAGAACACGGAGGCTGGAGGCTCCCTCCATACACTCACCTGGACATCAGGACACATGGCTGCCTTTCTTCCAGATTGTCAAGTTCCTCCCCAGCAACACCACCGCCCCCCAGGTGGATTGCACCTACCAGGTGGGTACTGCTGTGGTGAGGCTGCCGTGTAAGGAAAGGCCTCACTAGCTCTCTAGTCAGGCTAGATGCTCATGAGACTCACTAAGTTAACCCCGGGGACGTTACCTAGTCAGCCATGCTCATAGCCCTCCCGGCCGTTGCCAGGGATGATAACCCAGAGGAAGGAATAATGTTCTTGCTACAGCCTCCTCCTCCTGAGGAGGTCTGGGCAGTTACTCACACTTCAGAAGGTCTGGCAGTGATTTGGGTGATCTAGCATTATATGACCACATTGTCCTATTCCAGATCACCAATGACACAGGTGTTTAACAGGGTTCAGTACATGTCTTCTTGGGTGGCATCCATCTCAGGGAAACTGTTTTACAAAAAGACTTTTTAAAAAAAATATTTTATTTATTATTTCATGTGTATGAGTGTTTTGCCTGCATGTGTGTAACTACACCACGTGCATGCAGTAGCAAGAGAGAACAGAAGAGGGTTTTGGATCCCCTAGAACTGGAGTTACAGACTGTTTTTAGCCTCCATGTGGGTGCTAGGAATCAAATCTGAGTCCTCTGGAAGATCAACAGGTGTTCTTAACCACTGAGTCATCCCTCCAGCCTCCAAAAAGACTTTTTTAACAAAAGATTTATATTTAATTACATGCATGTATGTGTCTGTGTGCAGGTTATGTACATGTGAGTTCAGGTGCCTGCAGGGACAGGCAGTGTCAGTGCCCCTGGAGATAGAGTTGTAGGTGGTTGTGAGCAGCCTGATGCTAGGAACCAAGTGCTCTTACCTGCTGAGCCATCTCTCCAGTCCCCAAAATGACTTTCTAAGTACAACATTAAATATTAAATTTGCCTTCACTAAATATTTTCCAAGGCTTCTTTTCTCAATGTTGAACCCTCATCACAGGTCCATTCATGGGTCTATGATACAACAACAGAACACATCCCCACACCAGTTCCCCTCTGAGAGGCCCCTGTCTTTAATGAGCTTAAGCTACCATTGGGCAGTTCTGATTCCAACAGTGAAAGACAACAGATTCCATGAACACATGTTTACATTCAAGAAAACTGCACAAACCCTGAACCCCGTTTTTGCTAATGAGCTCATTAGCATGTCAGCTTTCATCTCACCTGCTAATGAGCAGATGTCAGCTTCCCCAATCCCATCACCCGGCCGAGACTCCGAGATGAGAAAAGTGGGGCGGGAGGTGACTGGGGCTGGGGGGGCGTTCTGAGAAATTATATCCCTGCCAGGCTCTCAGCACTGTTTATGAGTGCTGACTCAGTACAAGGCCAACTCTATTGCACTAATATGCAAAGAAGTGCTGATGTGGCCATGGGCATAGTGCATGTGTGTGCCAAACATGGTACATACCCACAATCACGTGTGCACCACACACAGTGCATACCCACACTCACATATGTACCAATGTATGTGTGCACATGAGACCCAGTGCCTACCAGACTAGGTTGTGTCCTCTCTTCCCCAGGATGAGCTCCGAAAGCCACAGCGGGACCTGAAGCCCCTGCAGGTGGAGTATTACCCACCCAACGGCACCTTCAGTCTCCACTACTTCCCCTACTACGGCAAGAAAGCACAGGTAGGTATTCTGCTTTTCCCTACCCCATGCACTTGCCAAAACACCTCAGATTTAGCATCAAGAAAGCAGTTTTCTATAGAAATAAGACAAAGGCCAGGCATGAGAGCACTTGAGAGGTAGAAGCAAGAGGATTGGGAGTTCAAGGTTATTTTGGCTACATAGCGAGTTCAAGGCCAGTCTGGGTTACATGAGATTCTATCTCAGAAAAAAAAAATTAAAGGTATGACTTAGCTAGTCCTGGACACTTCTTGTAGCCACCTGGAAATGTATTTCACCTAATACAAAACATAAATATTGACCTGATTCCCTCATAGTGCAGGGCCCATGAATCCTCCTGGCAGCCTGTGCATCCCTCCAAAGCAGTTCCTCTGTACCACATGCTTCTCTCTGTGTTTTACCTTCATATTCCTGTTTACCAGCTGCAGGCCCTCAGGTTGTGGGGTCCTAGCTTCTCAGTGGATGGAGATCAGCCTCTCAGTGACCCAAGGGTTCCTGTGAACTATACAGGTCTTGCCCAAGACAGAGTCACAGAAGAGTCCTTCTGCCCACCCTCTCCCTTCCTTGCTTAGTTTTCTTCTTCTTAGCATTAGGGTTTTCCCAAGTATCTCACCCCTTGCGCTTCCATTTCAGCCCCACTACAGCAACCCCCTGGTGGCAGCAAAGTTCCTTAACATCCCTAAGAACATAGAAGTCCTCATCGTGTGCAAGATCCTGGCAGATCATGTGACCTTCGACAATCGCCATGACCCATATGAAGGGAAAGTGGAATTCAAACTTACAATTCAGAAGTAAGAAGCAGGAGCTGGTGTCCACACCACACCTGCAGCTGCTCCACCGGCCTCTCCTCCTTGACCCACATCCTCTACTGGCCTGCATGCACAGCCACCTCAAACATGGTTCAGCACCAACACCACTGCCCATTTGGTGGTGTCAGGAGTGTTCCTGTCCAGCGCTCCCCTGAGCATCAACAGCTTCCTACTAAATCTTTGTGTGTTTGAGATCCATTTGTAGCTGTGATAAAGTGTGGGACTAACACAGGAACCTAGGCCCTGATAACATTAACGAGGTCCCAAAGCAACCTTCAGCAGGAGTGTTGTCCTGTAATCATTTGTCTTTCCCACACTTCACTGTGAACTATGGCTCATAACCAGGCCACAACCCTGACATAACGCATTCCCAATTCATGTTTCTGAGAATGCAATCCCTGCACCATAAAAACAAAATGTACTAAAGCTATTCTCTTCATGTCTTTCCTGATCTGGAAGAAAACTTCCCTAAGAACCAAACACTCCCTTCTTTAAAACCTTTCTAGGGTTTCAGTCACAACACAGGTATCCTTAGCACGTCAGCCACTGAGGTCCAGGACCTCAGACATGGGCTGAAGCCCCAGGGGTGCTCAGAGAGCTCCACACAACCTGACATAGCCCACAGACCCACAGCCTCAACCTGGACTCTCCTTGTCACCACCATCTGTCTCTCAGCCTGCAAGGTGCCAGACCCCTTAAGGATGCTTACATTGCCTCTTCTCTGCCCAGCATAATAGCCCACATTAGTTCCAGCTGAGCTGGGACCCAGCCCAAGGAGGGGGGGAGAAAGGGAGGGAGGGAGAGAGGGAGGAGAGAGAAACAGTAAGGTATAGGGCTTCCTGGGTGCCATCTGACACAGAACAAGCTCTCTGCACATCTTTTCATGTTCCACAACCTGCAGGATATTTTCAAGTAACTGAAGATTGGGGGGGGGCTGTCATTTCCACTTCTATTAGCAAACAGTGAGCTGTTTCCCAAAACATCCTCTGATTTGACCTAACCAAGTAAAACACCTAGCCCTCCTTCATGCCTGGCAACCTTTCTTTCCCACATAACAGGAAATTTACCATCTTGCCTTTTCAAGGGCAGATCGGGGCATACGCTCATCCACACTTACACAGCCATTGCTCCCATCTACCTGCAGCACTCCCCTCCCCTCCCTGACACTCTGCCCACCAAGCACTAAGTACCTGCCCCTAAGCTCTGGCAACTGTTTCAGTTCCACCTTTTGTCTCTATGAGTCTGGCTCTGGAACCCTCATATGAGTGGAAGCACATGGTATTTGTCCAGACTGGCTGACTTTGTCAAGGCTCACCCAGGGTACAGCATGAATCAGAATTCCCTTCCTTGTTAAGAATGAAATAATGTTCCACTTCGTTTGTCCTTTTGGACACTGGTGTTGCTTGTACCTCTTACTTACTGGCGACTAAGGGTGCTGAGGACATGGGTGTGCGACTGTATCTTCAGGACCTGCTTTCAAGGCATTGAACACGTGCTGAGTTCTATTTTTAATCCTTGAGGGGACAGCCATCCTGTGTCCACTGAGGCGGCCCCCCATCTCATGCCTACCAGCAGAATCTAGATTTCTTATAGCCTCACCAATACATGTGTTGGTAAGATTTCTGTTACTACACCAAATGCCTGAGATAGACCACTTAGTAAAGAACAAAGGCTTATTTTGTCTCAGCTGCGGGCTTCCAGTCCATCACCAGGACATCTGGCAGGGACAGTGCATCATGGCAGGAGGCATGGTGAACAAACCTGCTCACATCATGATCAGGAAGCAGAAAAAAATCAAGAAGAAATTGATTAGTACCCCAGGATCCCTTTCAAGGGCAGAACTCCAGTAGCCTGAAGACTCTCCCACTAGGCCCCATCTCTTAAAACTTTACCACCTCCCAAAGTGCCAAGGTAAGAACTAAGCCTGCAATGCATGGACCTTAGCTTGGGGCTGGGGCTCAGTTGGTAGAGTATTTGCCTACCATGCATGAAGCTCTGGTTTGATCCCTAGCATCACATAAACCAGGTTTGGTGGTGCATGCCAATCCCGGCATTGAGAGCTGAAGGCAGGAGGAACAGAAGTTCAAGGACATCCTCCACTATATAGTGAGTCCAAGGCACACCAAGGATACAGGACAGGGGACCCTGTCTTTAAAAAATCAGCAACAGCCGGGCATGGTAGTGCATGCCTTTAATCCCAGCACTCAGGAGGCAGAGGCAGGTGGATCTCTGTGAGTTCCAGGCCAGCTGGGGCTACTGGGAGACGCTGTCTCAAAAAGATAAAAAACAAAAAACAAAAAAAAATGAAAAAACAACAACAAAAACCACCTTCAAGAGCCATCATAGATCCAAGCCATAGGAATTTACTCAAGTCTTCGTCCTAATAATGATGTGGCATCTCTGGGGTTTTAATTTCCATTTCTCAACACCTGTTGCTATGGAGCTCCTTTCATGCTCTCGCTGGTGTTAGCAGCCTTCATGGAGAGATGTCTAATTGAGACCCTGCCAACTTTTCACTAGGTACTCTGCTTTCTGTTGTTCAGTTCTAAGGATTCCCTATGTATTCTGCATATTAAGTCCTCACCGTTTGTAAATACTTTCTTCCATTATGTGGTGTGACGGTTAATATGGTCAACTTGCCCAGATCTAGAATCACCACAGAAGCACACCTCTGGGTGTCTCTGAGGATGTTTCCAGGAAGACTGAATAGAGATGACTCATCTGAATGTGGTAGCACCAAGCCGTGGGTTGTTATCCAAAACCGAATACAAAGGAGAAGGCAAGCCAAGCACCAGCTTTCATTCCTCTCCGCTTTCTGACCACAGGTGCAACATAGCCAGCTGCCTCATGCTCCTGCCATGCCTTCCCCCCCATGATGGACTGTATCTGCAAACCATGATCTGAAATTAGCCCTGTTCCTTAAATTGATTTTGTCAGATATTTTGGCACAGCAATGTACAAAGCAGCACACGTGTGGGTCACCATTTCTCTGTTGATAGTGTCTTTCAATACACAAAACTGCTTAATTTTCCTCCAGCCCACAGTCTTCATCTGGTGCCTTTGGTGTCATAAAGGAATTATCACCAAATCCAACAGCATGAAGTTTTGCCCTGTGTTCTTCACAAAGTTTCAGTTTTAAGTGTTTTCTAAATGGTATTATGTGAGTCCAACTTCACTCACTTGCATGTGGGTGCTCATTCTCCCAATACCGTTTATTGAAAATTCTGTCCTTTCCCACATTGAACAAGTTTGGCATCACTGTCCAAAAACACTCTTATCATATTTGAGTGGTTTGTCCCTGCCTTGCTGTTCTAGCAGTCTGTTTGCCTTCCTGACAAAACCTATGGTTTCAATTTTTTTTAATTTATGTGTATGTGTATATGCCTGCATGAGTTTATGTGCACCACATGAGTGCAGGTGCTCATCAAGGCCAGAAGAGGGCATCAGATCCCCTCAGTTGTGAGCTGCCTGATGTAGGTGCTGGGAACTGAAGTCAGGTCCTCTCCAAGAGCAGTATGTACTCAACTGCTGAGCCATTTCTCCAGTCTCCAAATACCAGTATTTTGATCACTGTAGCCTTGTAATAAATTTTGAAATGAGGAAGTCTGAAGCCTCAAGCTTTATTCATTTTCAAGATTGTTTTGGGAATTCAGGGTGGCTTGAATTTGGGGTGGGTTTTCTTCTTCTTCAAAACTGTAGCTGGGGTTGTGATAAGGATTGACTACCCATAGATCCCTGTAAGGAGTACTGACGTCCAAACAGCACTGTCTTCCAGTCCACAGCCAATGAGTGTTTTTGTTGTGGCTTGTCTTCTTTAATTTCTCTCATCAGTGTTTGGTAGGTTTCACTGAATAAGTCTCACCTCCTTGGTTTAGTTATTGATAGATAAAAAAGTAGCCATATGACGAATAGGGTTGATCAGGAAGAAGCACCAGGACACAGATAAAACTCCATCAAAATAGGGTTTATTAGCAAAGGAACACATGGGACAGATTCCCTTCTGGGCAGGTAAAATGTCTTCCTGGGTCTTGAGCTGGGGTCTTTAAAAGGGAGGCTTCTGCCTCCTGCAGAAGGTGGGAAGATGTATTTTTTTTTAAAGTTGGGTGGGGGTGGTGGTGGGAGAGTGGGACTGTTAAAACCTGTTCTCTTTAGAGATCAAAGGGCGCTTATCAGCTCAGTCCCCTTTTCTCAGGAGCATGAGAAGTCCTTGGGACCCTGTTGGTGAGGGGGCGGGGCTATCTGAACCTTAACATTCCAGCCTTTTGTGTTATAGGATAGGGAGAACCATTGTTGTCTTGCCACTTCCTGCTGGACAGGGTCAATGTGGGGGGGGACTGGATTGGGGGTCGGTCAGACAGCAAGGGTTCCCTCTTCATGCATCTCAACAGGGTCCTCAATGGTTGACAGGTGCTTGTATACATGTAGAGGGAAGGAAAGTAACAACTGATTAAAATTAGTAAGAGTTAGTTTTTGGATTTGGTCCTGAAAATATCTGAAGAGGCAAGGAACAATGGTTAGCACCAAAGTAATATCTCATTTTTCATTTTTTTTCCTTCTGCCAGGGCTGAACTTGAGACTGATGGACTCAGGATTTGTTTTCAGGCATTTTGATAGCTGTTGGAGTGGCTAGAATCAGTGTCAGTTACCTCTCAAAAGCTTCTAGATAGAGAAAACAAATTTAGCCATCATTTCATTTTTTTAGGCTAGAACAATAGTGGGTTGCCTCTCTTAGCTGTGAGTGGGCACTACAGTATTGTAGACCAAGATTTGAAGTATTACATCTGAGTAACGTTCTTATTAGGAACAAAATTATCAATGAGAGATAATTGTCTAAATAACATAAGAACTTACGTCTAATGTCTAGGCTGTGTAATCCCTTGAACCCTTAAAATATACTGATGACTTTAATTTTGATAGTCCCGTCCCCTCACCAGCAGGGTCTCAAGGACTTCTCAAGCTCCTGAGAAAAGGGAACCAAGCTGATAAGCACCCTGATCTTTGAAGTCAGGAGAAGCAGACTTTTCTCCACTGTTTGGCCAACACAGCAGGCTTCCCCTTTGAT